AACAAAAGCAATCTGAGCAACGCCTAAACCTGGGCTGGTCAACTGGTAGAAGCACAGTTGTCGTTGAAATACTACTCCCCTAATACTTTGGCGAAGCATCAAATGAGTTGTATTTCTAGAACAGCTGGGGGTTATATTTTGACCAGCACTTGCCTTAATCATACATTGTACAAATTGTAGCTCATATTGAACAAATTGTGTCACGTATTGTACAAATTGTAGCTCATATTGAACAAATTGTGTCACGTATTGTACAAATTGTAGCTCATATTGAACAAATTGTGTCACGTATTGTACAAATTGTAGCTTATATACGTATTGTACAAATTGTAGCTTATATACGTATTGTACAAATTGTGTCACATATTGTACAAATTGTAGCTCATATTGAACAAATTGTGTCACATATTGTACAAATTGTAGCTTATATACGTATTGTACAAATTGTGTCACGAATTGTACAAATTGTAGCTTATATACGTATTGTACAAATTGTGTCACGTATTGTACAAATTGTAGCTTATATACGTATTGTACAAATTGTGTCACATATTGTAGTTTATATTGAACAAATTGTGTCACATATTGTACAAATTGTAGCTGTCGCCTGCAGGAATAATTAAAATAAATAACATTTAAAAAAAAAAATTAAAAAGGTTTTTTTTTTAATTACATGTGGTGTAAACATAGCTGGATCTTACCCCCCCAGATCCCAAGCTTGAGCTGGGACCTGTCCAGGTTCTCCACGTAATCCCCCAGGAACCTGTTGAGGAGATCTGCCAGCACAGACTCCAGCATGGTGGGATGAAGGCTCTTGGAGGAGGAGGAGGAGGAAGTGTGGAGACTGTGCTTGTAAAGGATGTGGGCTAAAGGTGAGAAGATGGAGAGGGCAGGTTACAGCTGGCAGCCCTGTCTGTGCAGTGAGTGAGTGGGGTGCTGTCTGTCTGAGTGTCAGCCTGTCTGTCCCGCTGCTAAAGTGAAACCAATGCGCAGTGGTTATGGTTATGTACTAACTGTGCACGTTGTGCCATTATCTCCCCAGGTTTACACGTGCATTGCCCTGGGAGCTGTGCTTGCTGTAGTCTGCGGGTGTGCTGGTCAGTGTTGTTGTTGTTATGGTGGGTGGGGGAGGGGGGGGGGCACTGTGCTGTCAGGGTCTCACTGTGCGCTGCTCGCTCTCAGCTTGTGTTCCTGGATGATTGCGTCACCTGACAGGTCACGTGGGCCGCTCAAACCGCTGCTCGCCGCCAGGTGGTCACATGATCCTGTATGGCCCGCCCCTTTGATGAAGTGGTGGTGGGGGGGGTGCATTGCTTATTCTTAAAGGAGCATGTTAGCATGTTCACTTTCTTTCTACACAGCGTTTTTTTTATCTTTGTTTAAAGATATATGGAAAAATGTTGGTCATACTATCCAGATGAGACAAATATCCTCAACTGGAGATTAATTAGTTCAGATTTCTACCTTAAATTTGCAATTCTATTGTTAAAGGACTAGTTTAGACACCATAACAATTTCATTGAAATTAAGTTGTCATGGTGCCAGAGTGGTTCACCAAAGTCTGTGTTCCAGCACTGGATTGCTCTGTCCGCCTGTCCTTCCGCTATCTGAAATCTAACATAATGGAAGTCTTAGGCAGGGGCTCCGCTAATTAAATTAGAGCAGACAGCTGATGCTCTAAGCTTAATCAGTCGCTCCACATTCATAAAAATAGGTAAACACCGTTTATGCGAATGTTGATCTACTGATAGGCGCAGAGCGTCAGCTGACTGCTCGAAGACAATGTGCAGCACCCCAAATGCTACCCGAACCTTCCGTTACCTAAGATTTCAGATAGCGGAAGGACAGGGGGGTAGAGCGATTCAGCATTGGAACTCAGACTATGGCGTTAAATTATCTGTGAACGCAGTTTAAAGGATCACTATAGTGCTAGGAAAACATACCCCTCAGGGTCCCCCTCCCGCCGGGCTCTGGGGAGAGGAAGGGGTTAAACACTCACCTTTCTCCAGCGCCGGGCAGGGAGCTCTCCGCTGTGAGCGCATTCAGCCAGTCTCATAGGAAAGTATTCATAATGCTTTCCTATGGATGCTGGCATCTTCTCACTGTGATTTTCACAGTGAGAAGCACGCAAGCGCCTCTAGCGGCTGTCAATGAGACAGCCACTAGAGGCTTTAGAGGCTGGATTAACCCATTTATAAACATAGCAGTTTCTCTGAAACTGCTATGTTTATAATAAAATGTGTTAACCCTAGCTGGACCAGGCACCCAGACCACTTCATTAAGCTGAAGTGGTCTGGGTGCCTAGAGTGGTCCTTTAATCCCCAGAGGTGAGCAAGTGCCCGGGACCTCCAGGGACCATAACAACTTACTTGAAGTTGTTATGGTGCTGGAGTGTTTCTTTAAATACATTTTCTAATGCTACCAGTTTAGGGATCAATCCCATGAATCACTGGGGAAGAATAGTTTGACGTACAATAAAAAATAATGGGATTGTTCCTTAATAATCTCAGAAAACTCGTAATAGTTTGCTTACATTTGATTTCTCCCCTATAGCTCTCATTAAAATTGTAAAACATGGTGGACTATGTTGCCACTATATTAATGGTTATAATAATTTAAAGGTTATCTCAGGCACCATAATCACTTAAGTGTTTTGAAGTGGTCATGGTGCATGAAGCCTGTATGAAAAAGGCTTGATCATAGAACTGAAATGTTGCTTACCAGTTATGTGACAGATGTGATTTGCATCCAGCATCATTGTCACAACTTTTGCCTGGTTTGTGCCTGTCGCTGTTCATTTTGAAGTCCACACTCTGTTCTATAGGAAACTGCATTGTTGATCCTTCGATCTGCATGCTTTTTAGCCTTGCATTGTTATGGATTTCGATGGCAGATGCTGCGTGGCTGCGTTATTTTTTTGACAGCACTTTTGGTACTTGTTTTTTTTTTAGCAAAAGAATCTGTGTTTGTACCTTTATAAGAACCAACTCTTCATATGCTCATTGACAGTTTGCGGTCCTTACTGTGCTGTTTGACCTTTCTCTCCTGCTACCTGCCCTGACTTTGGCATGTCTAACTACCTGCTTTTTGGAATCCTGACCTCAGCTCGTTGACTGGTTTGCCTAGTTAGTTAACACCATGTTATTTTAAGTTGAGGCCATTCACCCATAATCTGGTTATACTTCTTTCTATCCCTCTCCTATATCTACAATTAGGAATCCAATACTTTCTTAGTGCCTGACTCCCAGGTCCTGACATTAGGTCAGTTACAATCTCAGTAATTGCTGAAGCTGGTACCTTGCTCAGTTGTTTATTAGTGCCTTGATGGTGTGCCTGCGTATACCCAGACAGCTAGCATCACCAAGACTTGTGCATTGCTTACATACGCTTTGGTAATTTTAATGTGATTGTTATCTCCCAAACCTTTAAATAGCTCTGGGTTCGACTTCCTAGACCTTATCATCTTTCTGGATAATGTATCTTGTTACAATAGTCCTCCTGTCCCTGTAAACATGACTCACCTTCCGCTATACAGTTTCTCCACAGGCCACCTTTTCAGGCTTAGACAGAACAGAAACTGAAGGGTTTTACTGAGGTACTACTTAGTAATAACCAGTCGCACTTGAGCGAAGATGGAATTCAGGCGCACGTTCAATTGATAAGTGCTGGCTGTGATCAAAGGAGTCCAAAGAGCATACAAATTGGTCAAGGCAAGAAGAAGGCCGAAAAGTCACTGGAAACCTGGTCCACATCAAAAATGTAAATCTGTAGAAACACTGGTGCAGGGATAGACAACATCGAACACTCCAGATGTTGTGGACTATATCTCCCATAATACTTTTACATCCATAATGCTGGCAAAGCATCAGGGGAGATGTAGTCCACAGTCCACTGATGTTGATCAGACCTATCATAGATTAATATGAATCCCTATTTCCAGAATAGAAATGTGCAGAATGACAGTGCCACCAGATTATTCATCAGACTTGTTTGGAAGCCCAAGTGACAAAGATTATGCTAACATCTAGTCATAATACATGGACATTTGGCAGCAGTGACAACCATTACTGAGCTTTGGTGCTATTTTGGCCTACATTTACATTCTTGGTTGTCAATGGAATCTTTAGTGAATAAGCCTATTTAGTGTTACAGTATTAATCTTTGTAATATGTACTATGTTGCCCAAAATGTTGTTTTGACTAGGCATTGTAGGTAACACTGTTACTGCCCCCATTATTAGGCTAGTACTTTATTTAGCATATGCAAATGCTTACAACATGTCATTGATGAACTTTTAATATATGTTTCTTCATAATACTTTTTATAATTTTTTTTTATTAAGAAACAAATTGTACTTTTCCATTCCTCTCGTGGATCTAGAGCCAAATGGCTGATATTTGCTCTCGTCTGACTCCTAGGCTATCAGGCTGATTAAGCACCTTCCCCTTGCATGGCGTTGTTATGGTGATAGAAGAGGTTGCTCTGATGAGCAGAGTACACATCTCTGATCCTCCAGTAGATCCGATTTCCTTCAAGTCACAGCATTCAGCAATTTGACGCCTTTACCACTTTCCTTAAGCTCTATCGGGTCCTTAACGGTTAATGCACAATCTTACTATAAACCTGAACATTAGGTTGTCAAATCAGCCAATGTGTGTTGGTCGTGTATGATATAATCCTTATTTTACTCACAAAGGGTACCAGACAGCCACAACTTGATTTTTCTTTTCACACACCCACGTTACCACTGCCCTTAACCTCCTATCATAAACCACTTTAACGCGTGCACTTTTTTTTATCTCAACACCCACACGCCATACGCTTTTTGTTTACGCAACTTTTATAATTGGAGACTCTTTACATTTATTTTACTGCTTTAGATGTGTGCAATATCCTTGGTGGAGAACAGGTTAACCTATGAAAATGTCAGATCAGTGTGGCTACCATTTCAGGAGGTGTGACTGCGAATGTTAATAAGCTTCAAATTCATTGGTCGCTGTTCCACTTCTGATCATTATTAAGGGAAAAGAATCCCTTGCTGGGATCTGATATTTTACTTGACACTAGCAACATGGCACCAACGAGCTGCAGCTGTCGGGGAAGGTACGTTTCTGCCAGGCATTTCCGACTGAATTACTAGAATTTTAGCGAATGTTATGATGCCGAATCTCATATTCGGATTAATTAGACAAGACTCATTGGGAGATGTTACTTTTCTTTTTCTTGTTATAGATAGAAAAGAGACATTCACAGTAACCCGCAACTTTAAAAATTAAGTTACCAAAGGAGCCCCATTGCGTTTTGTATTGTAATAATGTGTCTAGACTCATCTTACATTCGAATTAGCTCATTTTTGTTTTCCTGTTGTTTTCCCATGTTTTTATTCACTAAACATTGAACTGTGTTCTTTTTTTTTTTTTTAGCTCGTATGCCCAGTTGGCTTACTATTTTAATATTGACTTTTGTACCCCCTACATGGGTTTAAACTTCACCTTAAAAAAAAGTATGGAATTTTCTCGCCTTCCCCAATCAGAGAATGCTTGGCATGTTTGATATTTTAAACCTTTTGCCAACATTTCTCTATTATTCTTGTCTATCTATATTTTTATATTTCAGGGAAATCTTTTAAAAGACATAATAATTTAATAAAAGTGAATTAAAAAGGGGCATACAAGTAAATGATCTGATTGAGGCCACAATAGTTTTGTTTTTTTTGTTACTTGGTAGTTGTGCTCTAAATCAAAAAAATTACACTTTGACTTCGGTGAATAAATAAAATATATAGCCTACTGAGTCCATGTAAAGTAAATTTCTAATTGAGTAATTCCTAATCAACATCGGTGATAAAACATCTACTTGGATAAATGAATGCATCGTTCTAGTTATTATATACACAGCTTTTTAGTTTATTTTATGATATAACTACATTTACTGCTCTAAAAAACAACTGTGGCAAACAACGTTTATTGCAGCATGCTACAATGCTTTAATGTGAGTATGGCTAATGTCCTATACAAGGAAGTTGGAACACTACAGTGTAGGTTTCTCTTAACTTTTATAAATCAATGCAATACACCTGTTATCTAAAGCTACACCTGTTTCATAATCAGCTAATATTCTTCTGTAGTATCTATTATTTTTATTATCATTTAAATAGTGCCAACATATTCTGCTGTGCTTTAAAATTCTCATGAAAAAAAATATTAAACTGATGCATTAAAATAAATTAGAATACAGAATGTAAACTGACTTATTTAGTTAAAAAAGCATGGTCTTCAGAATGCATTGTCACCTCCATATGTACAAATGTTATAAAATATTTGGTAATTATCCACTCTATATTATTAATGCTCATCATGTATGTAAATTATGATAAAATCTGGTGTGTTAATGTCTTTAGGCACTACTGAAACCAAATCATGTGACCAAAATTAGTTAAAGAATGTCCATTTTTTCATTTGTAGCATGGAAAAGTTTGAAGGACAAAACAATATTTTAATATAATAATTAGGGATGTGCATGGGCAAAAACGTCAGTTCGGTTCAGCATTCGGAAATTCGGCACTTTAGCACTTCGGCAATTCGGTTCAGTTTGGCAATTCGGACATTCGGCATCTGAATGTCCAAAATTCCTCCGAATTGCCAATCAGACCGAATCGAATTGCGCATGTCTAACAATAATCATTTCATCAGGTTTTGCAAGAAAATTAAGTGTATGTAGAAAAACTGAGTCATCTCTGCCTACAAAATAATTTAGCCATATATATATATATATGCACTTTTGGTCAGACAGTGTTTGAAAGCCGACAGTTAGTCTCTATGGTTTTTCTCAGCTTCTGTGCAGAGAGTGAAGCAGGGAAGACCATAGAGACTAACTGTCCGTTTTCAAACACTGTCTGACCCAAGGTGTATGTATATGGCTGACGGATACTAAAGGCATGAATTAGTTTTTCTAAATTGTTTTGCATATACCTCTTTTTAAAAATATCTATTTCCTTTTAAAACTTAATAAAAGGATTATTATATAAAAATAAAAAAAAATGTTGAGAAGATAGTTGTCCTTTAATGACGGATACATATGGTGTGTGTTTTTATCAAATTCAGTTTTGCTTTGCAATCATTTTGATAGCAAAATTGGAAGTACTTCAAACTGGGGGGTTTTTTTTGCCTTCTTTTGGATCAACAGCAAAAAACAGATTTGAGGAAGGCTGAACATGATGGACACATGTCTCTTTTCAGCTTATGTAACTATGTAAATATTTTGTTTAAAAAATATTTGTATAAATACATATATCATATTTTATTTGAACAATACATAATTGCAGTATTATGTCATTGTGTTGAGTTATTGAGTTCTTCCATAGTTAGTAAGAAAAAACAAAACGCACCACATCATTACACAGCAAGGAAGATTCTGTTGGTGATGTGTAAATAATGAAAATTGTACACAGAACAAATTCACTGGTAATACTGCAAAAATGTATTAACATACCACGTGGTCAGACCATTTTAGTGCAAAGGACAATAAACTGCTCTTTCAAAAATAAAACTGGGACAATGAATTTAAAGTGCACATCACCAGAAATGTTAAAGGGCTACTCTATGCACTATAACCACTTCAGAGATTTGAAGTGGTCATGGTGCTTGGAGTTTGTATGTGCAATGTTTTACATACAGGGTGTAACTCCTTTGCTGCCAGAGATGTAACTCCACATCCAGTAGTGTCATTGGGGCATCATTTGCCAACCTGGGACAAGAGTTCCGAGCTAGCCAATGTCAGCTCTGTGCCAACTCCCATGCACAGTGTGCCATTCACTGGCTGTGAGCGGTGAGCAGATTATGGTTTCAATGATGGAGAATTAATTAGACAATGCGACTTTATTAGTTTTGGGGTATTTTGTAGTTGTTTTGTGCATTTCATGCGACTAGATAGTGAGGATTGTGAGATTCATGTTAAAAAAAAGTAAGTTGAAGGAACACAATAGTGTTAGGAATACAAACATGATTAGATCCCTGCCCCCACCTCAGAATAGAGCTAAAAGGTAGTTTACTTACTTTTTCTTCATAGCCACACTGGTCTCGGCATTGGTTTTCCTGCCTTCTTGGCTGAGATCATCAATCTTGATGATATCAGCCAATCCAATGATTTCACATAGGAATGAATGCATCTCTGCATCTCCATGCAGAGCGTAGAGACACTGAACGTAGGTGCTGCACACTGTGTAGCATTGAAATAGAAAGGACCTCTAGTGGCTGTCTGTGACTAAACACTGCCTTTTCTCTATAGACACCAGCATCACAACATTAAGCTGTAAAGGTACTGGTGACTATAGTGTCCCTTTAAACATGATGAGGAATGTAATTTTTCCAAGAGAGGGAAATGTGTCCTTCTGCCATCTAAACTGAAGAGGCATTCATACATTTTCTTTTTTTGGTACAGTTAGCTATTGTTGGTGTAGTAACACCAGTAATCACCATATAATGACTTTGACTCACAAACTCCCAGAGTAGATGGGGCTTTAGCAACTCTGTATATATGAATAAGATTAATAGTTTTTCCCAGCAGTCTGCTGGTATGTACGGTTCTCCAGATATTCACATGTATTTGCCAATTTGTCCCAGTAATGTATTATCCCCTTGGAGGTCACATTTTGAGTTTTGCAAGTTGTTGTGAAGACGTCTTGGGTTTGCAACATTAATCATCATGTTATGAGCGTGGATGACAAACTCCCAAAGAAGAAGACGTGTATTGTTGAAGATTTTACAACGAGTTTTGCTTATGTTATTTCAGCAAACCATTTATGGATGGAAAGCAATAGAATGTAATAAACCTATGTTAAAAAAAAAAAAAAATGGTATGTCTTTAATCCAAGTGTTCTGACCTTCATCAATACTACTGCAAGAAAAAAGAAACAGGACAAAAAGTGGGACAGTTCTGAAATTCACAGAGACAAAGGTGTCGTTAAACGATGTTAACTATAACTATAATCATGGTGGGAATTTGTCTTTTCAAAAAAGGCTTGTGGGATGTGTGACACCAAGACGGACCCGATGTTAACCCTACAGAACCAAAAGAACTGAAGAAAGAACGTTTAAAAAACATTGAATAAACTGAGGCTGGAAAAAACCAAGACATGCATGGACACTTTAATGGGTTTCTCCACCCCTTGTCTTATTGCTTTATTAGAATAATGCCCTATTGGCATTATTTTTCAAGTCATCCTCAATAGAAACGCTCATAGAGTGTTTTAAATAAAGCTTTTACTTACCTTAACCCAGTGATTATCTTACAGGACCACTATAGGCACCCAGACCACTTATTTGAGCTGAAGTGGTCTGGGTGCCAGGTCCATCTGGGGTTAACCCTGCAGCTGTAAACATAGCAGTTTCAGAAAAACTGCTATGTTTACATTAGGGTTAATTCAGCCTCTAGTGGCTGTCTCATTGATTTTCACAGTGAGAAGACGCCAACGTCCATAGGAAAGCATTGAGAAATGCACATTCGGCAGATGATGTCGGAAGAGGGAGGAGAGTCCACAGTGCCGAGGGAGTCCAGGCGCTGGAGAAAGGTAAGAATTTAACCCCTTCCTCCCCTTTCAGCCTGGCAGGAGTGGGACCCAGAGGTTGGGGGGGACCCAAAGACCCTATAGGGACAGGAAAATGAGTTTATTTTCCTGGCACTATAGTGGTCCTTTAAGCAGTTCAACATGCACACTCGTAATGTCAGATGAGCCGCGCAAGGTACAATCAAAGACTTCTTATAAAGCAGCCTTTATTGAATCATTTAACTATCTCAGAGTGTGTGCATGCGCTCTGAGCCAACAAGTGGAGGGGAAAAGGGAATGTTGAGGGAAAGAAGGAGGAGGGAAAGAAAAAGAATCGGATAGGTAGGAGGAAGAAGGGTTTCAGGCAAGGAGGGAGGGAAGACACAAGCTTACCTTTGCAGGCTCTACGTGCAAGGGAGAAGCAGATTATGTTTGTTGCCAGCTTGCTATGTGCACTGATAACAGACGTAAAAGGTGCCAATAATGCTGGATGTGTAGTGTTTCAAGCTTCTAAAAGCAGAAGTGGTCATGGTGGTTGGAGTAAGCCTTTAATGTAAAGATAGAAACTGTATAAAAGCTACATACAATTGGAGTTACATTAAGGTTAGACCTGATACAAACGGATTGACGTATACAAAAGAAGTTAATATTATTTGTGTTGTAAAACCATTAAACAAAATAAAGAAGCCATGGTATGTTTTTGCTGTAAAAAATTAGGGCAACAGAAAAATGTGATTGGATGTCCAAAAGAAAAAGTAAAAAAAAAACATATACTTAAATTAATGGATATTTTAAGGTTTTTGGAAATAAGTCTTTACCTGGCTGGTACATTTGTTTAGGAGCAAAAAGCCACGTGAAAATTGGTAAGACTTTTTTCACTGTAATAGTTTTTAGTTTCAGGTGACATTGATTTTATTCTTGGTCCATTCATGGTCCATACCTCAATGGATTTAGGAATAGAATCCAGCGGAAATAAATGAATAACTTGAAAGAGGGGGAAACCATAACTATAGAAAGTACAGAAGAAATCTAAAGACAAAGAAAGTAATACCAGCAAAAAAGCTCATATATTCAGTGGTCCTTAATTATAGACAGGTACACAGAATATAGAGCTAGTGGAGATAGCTACCAGGATCCAGAATACAGAGCTAGTGGAGATAGCTACCAGGATCCAGAATACAGAGCTAGTGGAGATAGCTACCAGGATCCAGAATATAGAGCTAATGGAGATAGCTACCAGGATCCAGAATACAGAGCTAGTGGAGATAGCTACCAGGATCCAGAATACAGAGCTAGTGGAGATAGCTACCAGGATCCAGAATATAGAGCTAGTGGAGATAGCTACCAGGATCCAGAATATAGAGCTAATGGAGATAGCTAACAGGATCTAGAATACAGAGCTAGTGGAGATAGCTACCGGGATCCAGAATATAGAGCTAGTGGAGATAGCTACCAGGATCCAGAATATAGAGCTAATGGAGATAGCTACCAGGATCTAGAATACAGAGCTAGTGGAGATAGCTACCAGGATCCAGAATACAGAGCTAGTGGAGATAGCTACCGGGATCCAGAATACAGAGCTAGTGGAGATAGCTGCCAGGATCCAGAATACAGAGCTAGTGGAGATAGCTACCGGGATCCAGAATACAGAGCAAGTGGAGATAGCTGCCGGGATCCAGAATACAGAGCTAGTGGAGATAGCTACCAGGATCTAGAATACAGAGCTAGTGGAGATAGCTACCAGGATCCAGAATACAGAGCTAGTGGAGATAGCTGCCAGGATCCAGAATACAGAGCTAGTGGAGATAGCTACCAGGATCCAGAATACAGAGCTAGTGGAGATAGCTACCAGGATCCAGAATACAGAGCTAGTGGAGATAGCTGCCAGGATCTAGAATACAGAGCTAGTGGAGATAGCTACCAGGATCCAGAATACAGAGCTAGTGGAGATAGCTGCCAGGATCCAGAATAGCTAGTGGAGATAGCTACCAGGATCCAGAATACAGAGCTAGTGGAGATAGCTACCAGGATCCAGAATACAGAGCTAGTGGAGATAGCAGCCAGGATCCAGAATACAGAGCTAGTGGAGATAGCTGCCAGGATCTAGAATACAGAGCTAGTGGAGATAGCTACCAGGATCCAGAATACAGAGCTAGTGGAGATAGCAGCCAGGATCCAGAATACAGAGCTAGTGGAGATAGCTAGCTGCCAGGATCTAGAATACAGAGCTAGTGGAGATAGCTACCAGGATCCAGAATACAGAGCTAGTGGAGATAGCTGCCAGGATCCATAGGACCACCAGCTCCACATACAGGCAGATTGGCTGACTTTAACCATTAATATAGGAGCAAGCCGCCATTGGCAATATATAAAAACTCAGAAGGATAGGAGGAAAAGTCCAGGAAGCTTCAAAGACTGACTGATCACCTCAGATGTTCTGGGAATAAAGTAAAAAACTAAATAGAGTGAAGGAAGCAGTAGCTGGGTAACTAGAAAACTTTCATAAAATTGATGGGTAAAATAAAGAAAGGATTGCACATTAAAGCTTCGCTTTGCTGGTCCTGTTTGTAAATATAGAAGCTGATAACGAATTTCAGACCGCCTAAGTCACTTGTGCCAAGGGTTCAACTAGCCCCCAGCACAAAAGTGCAAGTAATTCTCTTTGTGCAACGTTTCAAGCAGACACAGGTTACAGTTTCCTACCAGCATGACCACTAAAAGCAGAAGTGGTCATGGTAGTTGAAGTAACATTTTAACTCTGTGCCATTCGAAGCAAAGAGACATTCTGATTTAAATTCAGCAATCAATTACAGAAGAGGGAGAACATTCTATGATTGACATGATGCTGTGGAGGGGTCACGGAGTATCAACATCAGTCATCCTCGTGTAAGGAGTGTGATTGACAAACAAAAAAAAAAAAGATGTAGCTGCAGCAAATGTATAAGAGTTGAAATGTTGTGCTAATGTTATCCCAAGAGTCAATCCTGTGGATGGTGAGTGAGGTTTAATTCAAGTAAAAGGGCTCAAAATTTGAATTGTTCACCACTGCAAGCCTGGTGGCTGAACTTTCACTCATCAATCGCTAGTGGGTTAATGAAAATGTTGAACCTTGGTGTATTTAAGTATTAGAAGTGTTTTATTTAAAAAGAATTCCATTACTGTCTTAAGATAGGATAAATAATGTCCCATGCTCATGTGTACTACATACTTCGATTTTAAGACAACAACGCCTACATGTCTGTTCGTCCACCCATTGTAAAGCGCTGCGGAATTTGATGGCGCTCTATAAATTTCATAATAACAACGCTTCTATATTGCAGGTATTGGTAACCCTAGATGTGGTATTACTGATTTTCTGAACACAGAACGAAGTTGGATTTTTATGCCAGTGCCAATATATGTGTTCTTACCTGCTGTAGCTACAACCTCAGCAGTGATATTAGAACAATAACCATTCTACAATACAATGTGACCACATGTGATGTTCAATGAATCCCTTTTCTGAATCCACATATTATAGGAGGCATACACACCACTGTACAGAGAGTAGCATTATGTTTACACATGTTTACACACCCAGTCTACTGATAAATATTGTTATAGAGTGTTATGTACATGCATGTTCCGCACCCAGTCTGTTGCTGTTGTATGGAAAGATGTGTTAAAATAATGCATCTCTCGTCTGATGTGCCTGCTAATAATACTCCTTATAGGACAGGGAAGGGCAAATGGTGGATCCCCGAATATAAAACTGCAGATCATATGATACTTTACCATTTTAACCCCTTAAGGACCAAACTTCTGGAATAAAAGGGAATCAGGACATGTCACATATGTCATGTCTCCTTAAGGGGTTAAAGGTCGGCAAAGCATCATGACAATTAGTAGTTCTACAACGATCTAACTTTTGCCCAGCCCTGCCATAGACCAATGTTTCACATTTCTCTTACACCGATCCTATCTTATAAAGAACTAGGGAATACATTTTAAAATCAGGGACATTATCCTACTGACACAACTCACACAGGAACGCTTCTAAACAATAGGATATTAAGTTTTCAATGTATTATTCTTTGTAAAACACATTTGGAATAAAGGAACAAAATTGCTAGATATAAATAAAAGAGAATGTATCTCTCAATGAGCTTCTCCTACAATAAATGCACCAGTTAACGTGACATACTTTGATTTGAAGCCACTGAACTAGTTGATAACGTGGTTGTGAATTGTTTTTATATATTTTTGAATGCTATATTTAGTTTGTTTTAATGTCTTTAGTCCTTCTAAGTGAACTTTCCATAATCCAGAAATAATTATATTTGTGTTTTTTTCTTACCTGTTTTAGAACACTCAGCCACTGTGAATGCACATGCCATTAAGTACCTTGCCAACAGTAACCTATGCATACCACTATGAAAGAAAAACCCAGGCATAATTCATCCACATGCTACAATGTTCTAACACCAGACCGAATTCCTGAATTCTGTATTCCCCCGCGGCATCATGCCCAGAAAGATCTAAGAAGAAGACCACATTATAATTCTATCCCAGATCTCTTCGTGTCAGTTTTTGAAGCAAGAGAATCTCACCCTTTTGAAAAGCACATTATCCAGGTGGACAGCGTAGAAGATCCTTTTGAGGAGGAAAGTACTAATGCTGACCCGCAGTCACAAGCAGCTCTCTCCTTGCCTCATCTTGCTAAAGCTAATACGTCCTATGGATTTTGCACCTTGTTGGAAAGCCCAAACACGAAGAGAAAAGAGTCTATTTTTCATAATGATCCTGATGCCCTTCCCATCTTGTTGCCAAGATCCCGCTCTAATACCATCACATGTAGAGGTGCATCTTCATTAAACAATTTTACCAGCACTCTTAGATTGAGGCCTCTAATACGGTCTGGTACCTTGGATAGTGACACAGCCTCGTCCACTGATTCTTCACCTTTTGGCTCTCCAAGACTACACAGATCTCTTCAAACTTCTCTATTTAAAGCTTTGAACCAGGACAGTATGTTCTCCAGGGCTTTGAAAGCTAACTGCAAGATGTCTGTTCTAAGGAATAACTCGGTTTCTACTGATGAAGACAGCTCCACTGACAGTAGTCCATGCGTCACTAGGAGAAGTTCTTATGATTGGTCCCATCACCCTCTTACACAGTCTGACATAGGCCTTCTACTGGTTCCAGGTCAGTTCTCCTTGGACAACACCGTGACACTGAACACAGGAGGAATTGTAAGGCTTTCGACTGAATATCACCCTGAAAATATGAGACTACGCATAAGACTGGTCAGCGCTGAAGGACTTTACAAGCAGTCCATTGACCCCAAAAACATCAGCTGCTACATCTCCTTGTCCCTTGTACCAGGAAAGAATCAGAAGCAAAGAAGCACTCTTATCCGTGGAAGCCGGAACCCAATCTTTAATGAAGATTTCTTTTTTGAAGGGGTAGAATCTGAAGATCTTCTCCAGAAAACCCTTAAAATAAAAGCCATCAACAAAGGATCCTGTGTCAGGAGAGAAGTCATTCTTGGGCGGTGTAAACTCAATCTCCTTAATGTTTTACCTATATAGGACACAAATCCCGTTTTAAACGATATACCATGTATACATATACATATATATAAATATATATGTAATTGCGCCTGACTTCTTTGATTCCATTAATTTCATGCGTTGTTTTTTTATTTAAAGGGAAATAAACACAAAATAGAGTTAAAGTTATGTGTAATTTACAGACAGTGATATATTCTATCACAAAATAATGTTTATCAGGAAAATAGCGAATACAACTACTAATTTATATGCACCTGAACCAACGCAGCCATCTGCCACAGTAGGTTGATTCAGCCATTAGTGATTGCCAGATTTCCATAATAAGTTTTTACAGTAAGTGATAGTGGTCCCGGGGCATGAAAAATAATAGGATGGAGAGCAGGGCAGGGCTGCCAAAGGGGCCAGTGGGGGCTATAGGTCTCCAAGTCACAAGCATACTAGCCGTTTTGGAATGCAGAGTCAAACCACGATAAGTCTTTTGATAAAATGCAGCGTAGGGTGTGCTGGGCTGTCTATTGATACTGTTCTGCAGGAAAGAGGCATTAGGCAAGAATGGTTCAAGGCCACAATTGTCAGGGCACTATTGTCTGTAGGTTATCCCTTTGTGCTTATACTGGTGGCACCAAAGTAAAAAATGAAAAAAGGAAATGGGATGAGGTGAGACAGTGATTTGACTGTGTCTCCTATAAGGCCATATACTTGTACTTGTCCCCAGGCCAAAAGATACCAGCCGTTGCCTGATGGCAAGTGTTGGTTACTGGAGAACTAATGGTAAGGACTAAATTAAAAACACTGGAAATCATAAGACAAAGGCATTTAGTTCCTAGGACTGATACAGAGGTGTAACTACATATTAAAGAAGTAGGAAATAGTAATCAAAGACAGAACATGAAAGTGAACATAGAGCATATTGCTGCTAGTAGGTATAGATCATGCTGCATTGACCTCATGTAAGACTAGACAAATTTGATGGAGGTCTTGTGACATTTAAAAGAACAAGTCAGTTCTAAAATATTTCAACTGAAGAATTAAAGAATTACATTTTGCCTTGTGAAGACACACACTTTAACATTTTGTTTTTGAGAATATAATTACTCCAAAAAGAAAGATTTATGTTTGACATAATATATGTAAAAGGAATCTCTAACCTAAACTCTACACTATATAAAAAAAATAATCTATAACACTAACCCCCAAAACTGGAAAAATGCCTTAATAATACATTTTAAAAAAAAACATATCAAATGAACTCTAACCTTTATGATACAAACTAGCATTAAAATCATGGAATTACTCTAACCCAACAAACGTGTCTTAGTAATGTACTGAAATGATCCATTCTGAATCATGAAGCTGTTTGTTTTCAAGAACAAATGAAAACCATGAATACTGGTTTCGGGTTATCAGGTACATGAAATTACTAACTCAGATTTTGAGAATATCTGAAATACCAGGTAAAGGATACTGAGAGGCTACACCCATCCATGGCCCAAACCATTTTGTAAAACAATTTTTCAATGAAGATAGACTCCAACGGGGTTGTTTGGTCACAGAGACCTAAAGGACATCATAGGATCATGGGTGATATTGGACTGAGAGACTAACAAGCCTGGAAGCATGTCTACAATCTTAAAATAATAAAACAATGGCATTCTAAAGTTAACAATGAAATAAAATAAAAATACCTCTGCTAAGTAAAATAACAGGTCTAACAATACTAGGAATGACGAAAACCTCAATTAAAAAAAATAAATAAATAAAGGAGAGGCGAGGAAACAAAATAAATCTGAGGGTTTATTCCACAAACAGTGAATTGAGGAGCACTTAAAACTGAATTGTAAAATAAACAAACTCGCATTGAAAAACTATCCGACTAGACTCACTAGAGCAGGCATAGGCACCCTTCGGCACTCCAGATGTTTTGGACTACACCTCCCATGATGCTTTGCCAGCATTATGGGTGTAAGAGCATTATGGGGGATGTACTTCACAACATCTAGATTGCCTATCCCTGCACTAGAGTATGTTACCAACTTAATTTTAAACAGTTTTTTGGCAATTCAATTTTGAATTCCCACATTTCAAAGTTTAGTGAATTAAAGGACCACTATAGGCACCCAGACCACTTCAGCTTAATTAAGTGGTCTGGGTGCCAGGTCCAGCTAGGTTTAACCCCTTTTTTCTGTAAACATAGCAGTTTCAGAGAAACTGCTATGTTTACCTATGGGTTAATCCAGTGATTTTCACAGTGAGAAGACGCCAGCGTCCATAGGAAAGCATTGAGAATGCTTTCCTATGGACTGGCTGAATGCGCGCGCGGCTCTTGCCACACATGCGCATTCAGCCGATGACGGAAGAAGAGGGAGGAGAGTCTCCAGTGCCGAGGGAGCCCGGCGCTGGAAAAGAGGTAAGTGATTAACTCCTTCCTCCCCCCTCAGCGCCACGGGAGTGGGACCCTGAGGGCAGTGGCGTCTCTAGGATTCATTTTTAGGGGGGCACATGGTGGGACAAAAGTAGGGGGCACATTTAACCCCGCCCTCGCCACAGTTTGACCCCGCCCCTGCTGCATGTTAAGCCCCGCATTATTTTCCACCAAGGATTATTAAAAAAACAAACACATTTCCCTTGATACAGTCCACACACACACACACACACACACACACACACAGAGACTGCTAAGTCCTTACACACACAGAGACTGCTGAGTCCATACACACAGACTGCTGACCATACACACACACAGACAGACTGCTGAGTCCACACACACAGACTGCTGAGTTCATAGACACACACACACACACACACACACAGACTGCTGAGTCCATACACACATACACAAATAGACCGCTGAGTCCATACACACACACACACACACACACAGACCAAGCGGAGTCCACACACACACACACACACACAGACCGCTGAGTCCATACACACACACATGCACACAGACCGCTGAGTTCCACACACCCATACACGGACTGCTGAGTCCATACACACACACACACATGACTGCTGAGTCCATACAAACACAGACACATAGACCCGGCTGAGTCCATACAAACACACACACACACACACACAGACCAAGCGAGTCCCCAGACACACACACACACACCGGCTGAGTCCATACACACACACACTCCACACACACACACACACCAAGCTGAGTCCATACACACACACACAAATAGACGCTGAGTCCATACACACACACACACACACACAGACTGCTGAGTCACACACACACACACACACACAGACTGCTGAGTCCATACACACACACATACACAGACCGCTGAGTCTATACACACATACACAGACTGCTGAGTCCATACACACACACACACAGACTGCTGAGTCCATACAAACACAGACACACAGACTGCTGAGTCCACACACACACACTGCTGAGTCCATACACACACACACACACACACACACTGCTGAGTCCATACACACACACACACACAGACTGCTGAGTCCATACACACACACACACACACAGACTGCTGAGACCATACACACACACACACAGACTGCTGAGTCCATACACACACACACTGCTGAGTCCATACACACACACACACACACAGACTGCTGAGTCCATACACACACACACACACAGACTGCTGACCCATACACACACACACACACAGACTGCTGAGTCCATACACACACGCACTGCTGAGTCCATACACACACACACACACACACAGATTGCTGAGTCCATACACGCACACACACACACACAGACTGCTGAGTCCATACACACACACACACACACACACAGACTGCTGAGTCCATACACACACGCACTGCTGAGTCCATACACACACACACTGCTGAATTCATACACACACACACACACACACACCAAGCCTACCAGTACCTGGAGGCTGTTGCTGGGGGTCAGACAGCCATCTTCTGGCCTTTCCAGCAGCAGCAGGGTCTGCTGCTTAACGGCGGGGGCGGGGCTTATGTCCGGGAGGCGGGGCTTTGTTTGGGGGCAGGGCCTGTGCCTGTGGAGCCTGTCAGTGCTCCCTCTGGCCCCAGCACCGTTCCAGCCCCTCTCTCCTGCATTCCCTTGGGCTGTTACAGACTGTTACAGCCCGAGGGAATATAATTTAAGCACATGGCAAGCACGTTGCTGGCATTTGGGAGGGCTCAAGGGGGGGCACAGCATGATGTAGGGGGTGCCAGAGGGGGCCATGGCCCTAGCGACGCAACTGCCTGAGGGTGGGGGCACCCTCAGGGAACTATAATCCCAGGAAAACGAGTATGTTTTCCTGGCACTATAGGGGTCCTTTAACGCCATACTGATTCAAAATGTTAGCATACTTATAAACAAATTTGGGTGCAAACCCTTGCACATATAGGAGCATGCTCGATACTTACTTGAGGCACCATCACTCAAAAGTAATATTTATTCATCACTAGGTAAGTTACAAGAAGTAACAAAGTGATGTGCACTTTAAAAAGAACACCCCAAAAGACTACATTATCCTGCACTATGTATGTTTCTAGGCTTGATGAACTTGTATGGATCAATACACCAAGGGATTTATGATCAAAAACATGGCAAATACACAAATATTCTTACACAGGCACAGTGCCAGGGCCGGCCCAGGTGGCACTCTGACAAGGGTGGCATTTTGCCGCCCCTGTCAATGGCGGCTCTCTAATTAGGCAAGTTAGACGAAACTGCTATGTTTACAGCAGAAAGGGTTAATCCTAGATGGACCAGGCACCCAGACTACTTCATTAAGCTGAAGTGGTCTGGGTGCCTATAGCGGTACTTTAAAAAAATAGAATATGAGTATGTGAAGCCAAGGTTGCTAGACACAGCAGGATGCAGTAAAATATGCATACAGGAAGCCCAAGGACTAACCAGAATGTGGCAGAGATACATCCTATGAGTTCCAAAGACAGATATCTATGCTGAAGCAAATGTTGTCTAAAATTAGCCAAAGGCACAATACCAGGCGTAACCAAGAAATGTAAAACCTCCCGGAATCAGAGGACTCGTAAAAACAGTATGGTTTCTAAAAATAGTATAAATGAGAGGTAACACACTTGAGATGTATTGGTAA